TGCCAAAGGCGCTACACAATTACGCATTTTAAAAGAAATTTCAAAACTTCCATTTCTTCAACATACCAAGTTTGACATTTCTTGTAAGTATATAACCGACTACATACTGAATAATAATGATCCAAATTAAATTTTATTTTAGATTTTCTGTAGTTACCTAACCCTGTCTGAATTACCTCCCTTAATGTTATGCCTTTATAAATACACTTACATAGTACGATTTCTTCAACATACCTGTTTTGCATTTCTTGTGTGGGGTATCATATTAATATATTATTATATATTGTACAATTACATAACTTAATAATTCCGATTAGTCGCTAGAACTTATGGTTTTTAAGCTTTTAACGTTATTTTATCTGGATTATCGCCCTTAATATTGTGATTTTTTATCACCTTCTAAGATATGACGTCATTCTCAGTCAGCAGACGGCTGCCCCTCGAGACAGTCTACATTTCCTACTTGCTTCTCTGTATTCAGTTTTGTTTTTGTTTTTTGTGACTATGGAACATGTACCCTTTATGTATTAAATACTGAAGCGTTTCTTTATAATTTAAGAGTTTAGACTACTTTTTTTTATACATTTCACCGATGTGGTTACTTGTATAGTTGAATTTTACTACACATATGCTTACATTTGTATTTCGTGGGGGGTGGATGGTTGAATGGTTAGCGTGCGCGCGCTGTATCATAAAGTCTGTCATTGAGTCGACTGGCGTGGTTTCGAATCCCCGGTTGTACGTGACAAGGAGTAGGGTCGCCTGTCCAACCTCGTGGGTTTTCTCCGGGTCCTCCGGTTTCCTCCCACTGCTAAAGACCCCTATGCGCAAGCGAATTATTGAAATAAAATTAAACCATATGTTAGTCCCGAAATGACCTAGTTTGTGTCGAGTGGACGTTAAACCCCATTTCTCTCTCTCTCTCGTATTTCGTGTAGCATATAGCAGATCATGAGACATGCTGGCATTACACAATGGGTTCTTTGGGTTGTATTCCTAATTGTTTTCAAATTTGAGTGAAGTCTGTGTCACTACAGACCCGGGACTGTACAGCGCAGTGGACGCTTACGGCTAGCCCCCGGATCCATTCACTTTTTTTTAAATTGTCTGTATGTTTGTGTTTTCTTGAGTATGATGTCCTGTCCGTGTATTTGTTTTTGGTGTAAATTTTGTGTGGTACAGTCCCCCTGCACTTACTATTAGTGACAATTCCTCCCGCTAATTTGTCGGCTTGTTCTTTGCCGAAAATATTGACGAGGGAATGGATCCATGTAAGGAAACCAGATGACACTGAGAAAACCCACGAGGTTTGGCAGCTGACACTACTCCATGTCACGAACGATTTGGAAAACCAAATGATAGACCCTAAAGAAAGCACAGGTGTCAGACCATTAACTACACACACTTTTGTTCACGAACCTGGCATACGTCATTGACTGTGCTAGAAGCAATGTTTTTTTTCTGGATTCCACCGGCACCATTGATAAGTGGAAAAGACACTCATGATTAGTGAACCAGACTGTACCCCACTGGCTCTCCTAATGCAAATATAGCTAACCGAGGCTAAAGCCAGGCTGACACTTGCACGACTTTTGGCCACGATTTTGTCGTGGCGAGTCGTGCCATTTTGGGGCACGAACTGGGAGGCTCCCGCACTGTTCACGACTAGTTCACGCATAGTTCACGACGAGTTCACGACGATTTCACGAATGCGTGCCCATCAATGTCCACATTGACACGAATTGGCACGACGAGTTCACGCATAGTTTGTGCATTGTTTACGCACTTCCCGCATTGGCACGACGAGTTTGCGCAATTCGGACGGTGTCGTGCCGAATTGGGCACGCCATATAAAAAGGGGCCTCCCCAACCCCTGGTCATTTTTGGATTGGCTGTGGAAGAGACAACATGCTGAATGTCAGAGACACAATCATTGCAGGGAAGAGAAGATGCCTATGCCTGGCAGCTGCTCTAGCCAATGTTCAAGAGCAGCAGAAAAGGCAGAAGAGCAAGAAAAGGCAACCCCACCTCGAAAAAAGACACAAAGGAAAGTGTGGGTCAGGGAATGGTTGACCAGAAGGCAAGAGTTTGGACAGTATGACAGTTTACTGACTGAACTCCACAAGGAAGATCAAAGGGGCTACAAAAATTAACTCATAATCACACCTGACCTGTTCCAAGAGATGGTTGAGAAGTTAACCCCTCGCCTCCAGAAGCAGTCCACCTTCATGAGGGAACCGCTTCAAGTTGGACTCAAGCTAGCTGTCACCCTCCGCTTCCTGCCACTGGAAATTCCTATCCAAGTCTTGCACGCACTGCCACGCACAGGCACGCATCCTCCCGCATCGTCCCGACGAGTTCACGAACAGTTTGCGCATAGTTCACGACCCGGTCGCTAAATTTTGTCGAGACCAAAATTTTGAACATTTCAAAATTCTCGTCCCGACATGGCACGCAGTCACGACGGGTTTACGCACACTTCACGCCAGTTTACGACTAGTTTGCGCACTGGCACGACTCGAGTAGTGCCAATGCGTGCCACGGAATCGTGCAAGTGTTAGTCTTGCTTAAAACCTACAAGTGCGCGCGGGAAATGATATCCGTGTTATTTCGATGGGTTTAAAAAGTAATCCGATTGAAACACAGATCCTATTTCGTTGCGTTTTTTTATAGTTAAAAATTTCGTTTTACTTGTCTTTACAACTAGGATCTGGAAGATTTGTTATATAACCCGTGTTCTGGATTATGTGAGGGATTAGCCAATGAAGCGGTCTGTTACGGCAAGTTTTTTTGGTTTTCTTGGCTTCATAGGGACAAAAGCCGCTCGTATTACCTCTGACGCGACCTTCCACTACAACCGGTCAGTAGAGGCCATCGAAAGTATAAAAAACGAAACGAAATTTAGATCTGTATTTTAATCAGATTGTTAAAAAAGGCGGTTGAATACCCCCCATTCTTTCGCCTGTGGTCAGGTTATCCGCCTCCAAAATATTAACGGAAAATATGCCAGGTTGAAAGTCAAATATCGAGTGTTTGCTGGATGAATTTTACTGCTTTGTATGGAACATTGAGTACGACAATTCGACAATCGGAAACGAAATTTTAAAAATGTTGTGAAAATCCGGGTATAAACAACACCAAAAACACATGTATATAATTTAAATATTTACCAGCTCTGAATGTATTTTAGAAAAAGAGTTAGTATATTATTTTTTTTAAAAAATCTTGGATATCATGACCAAAACATACCCAACCCCGTATCACACATCCGAATCCATGTTGACGTAAAAATTGACAGACGCGCAGATTTGATCGCATCATCAGATGAGGTTTTCCCGGTCACGAGATGAAAATGTGGGCGTATGAAAAATACTGCAAAGAATCAGACCGAAGAAGTTAAGTTAGTATATATATTTCATTGCAAAAACTGTCGTAGTAAAATATAATTTAAAGAATCAATCAGTGAAAGCTTTTAACCACCTTTTAACTAAAGATTATAACACAGTCAAGACCATCCTTGCTTAATGCAATCACTTTATATCCTTTAAATCAAATTCTAAACCTGTAATGGTAAATCTCTTTGATCTCTCTAGGTTTTTCTTTGCCCGGAATAACTTGCAAAATTCGTTATTATTTTTTTTTTATCAAAGTTCAGTTTCGTGTAGGTCTCAAATGGTTGTTTATAAATTAGATAAAACACCTGTCATCGGTTATGCTGGGTCAGAAAACCCTCAGAGAGAGAGAGAGAAATGGGGTTTAACGTCCACTCGAAACAAACTAGGTCATTTCGGGACTAACACATGGTTCAATTTTATTTCAATAATTCGCTTGCGCGTAGGGGTCTTTAGCTGTGGGAGGAAACCGTAGAAACCCCACGAGGTTGGACAGGCGACCCTACTCCTTGTCACGTACAACCGGGGAATCTAAACCCCGCCAGTTGACTCAATGACAGACCGTATGATACAGCGCGCGCGTGCTAACCATTCGGCCATCCAACCCCCGCGAAACCTCAGCAAGAAACCTTCTATAGAAAACCTTTCCAAACCTATCTCCAATCATTCATCTGTTGTAAAATGAACCTAAATATCTCACATGTCTTTAGTTCCTTCATTAAATAACTTGGATAGGATCTATATATTTAGGCCTTTGTGTTTTCAGACATTGAAATGCCTCAATATTTTCACAGAAATTTGAAAATTAAGAAATTTAATCTCGCCAAATTCTGACATGGTGAGGAATGTCAAATTTCCTGCTGTGTTGCTCTGTCAAAAAAGTAGTATGACATTATGACAGAGTTAAGCTGACGTTTACACAACTACACCAGTTTCATATCAGGGTGTGGTCTCATTGGTCTGAACATCCCAAACATCTTAACCTGTCTACAGTTACCTCCGCTTGAGAACATGAAGTTGATAGATCTCTGTGTGCAGTATATGTGGCCAGAAATGCCGGTCTTAGAATTCTAAGTCTGACTTAAAAAGTGTTAGAAATCCTTGAAATGTGCACAATACAACTGTAACTGTTTATTGGTGAAAAATAACATAGCACCAACCACAAATTCCAATTACTATCTTTTAAATTTCAACATTTAACCCTGTCCTATATTGGCCTTTCTCCTTTATTTACTTCACAAACATATTTCTATGATTTGGAGGCAGACCACCATTAAATTTCACCATCTCAGTACCCACAAATTGTAGTTCATCTATTTATAGCAATTCTCTCTCTGTCTCTTTTCTCCCCTTTAGCATGCCCATATTTGTTGATTTTTTGGTCTAGAATTTTGGTGGTCAACCTCATAATAAAAATTTTAGTGCAAAGACATGACCAATATCCTCTGTCTGTAGTGAAAAGCATTCAGCCCAACGAAAATTTGAGGAAAAGTTGGAGGTGGGCAAAGAGGCCAGAATTAACATTAAAGTCAATGGGGAAATTAATTGTGGTCTGCATCCATTTACCCCGATGAGTTATCCCCCTTCTTAGTTCTTTCACATCTAAAGTGTAAATAGGGTGGTCTGTTACCAAATATGGCCGATGACGCTTTGTAATTTAATTTAGTCTAATTTAAATTATGTATTTAATTTAAGAATTAAGAGCAGGTATTTTAAGATAGAAATGACGGAGGATTCATCGAATTCGGCATATCTCGAAAAAAAGCTAGTCATCGGCGTTCTGAAATATCTCGGTAACTAAATACTGTGCTGTGTAAACTGTCAATCACTGTTGAATCATGACATCTCAATGCAGTCAATGAATGATTGAATCTCATGACAATTCATGATGAGTTGAAAAAAGATCAGACCATGGACCTTATAATGTATTATAAGGTCCATGATCAGACTACTCTCTGAACCATCGTAAATTTTTAAACGGATTTCTTCGATTGTCACGTTGTGAACAAACTACTTAAAGGAGCTAAATCGCTAACATTTGGGAAATAGAAATTGACACAAGTGGGTCACAACTCATATAATACTGTAATATGAATGTATATAAACTGATATACATTCAATGGTTTCCGTTTTTACTATAATTTTAAATCAGTTATGTTCCGCGAAATAAGCCTGCAGTCTCAATCTAATGCAAATTTCTAGCGCCTGATTATTCCAGTCTTGGTTTGGTGCAATATGTCTAGCCTCGTTCCGCGAGTCTCTTGCTAGAACTGGGGCTGAAAGGCATTATGGTACACGATTCGTGTACCAATGGCAAAATGTTTATTTTGTCTTAAATATTGGATATCAGAAGCCCATCTTTTTCCGATAAGATCACAGCATCAATGTTGATTTAAATTGACAAATAATTTGTGTTTTCAATGTTGAAGATTTTGGATGATATAGAGTTAGAGACTTAGCAACTTTAACTTTGGTTATTATAAACTTACCTGTGTGTTTGAAGTCATCTCCCGTTCGATAAAATCCATTGCACAACTAAATATCCCAACGAATACAAAAGTTCTCTCTTGACAAATTTGACTATTTACTTGTAATTTCGACTGAGAGGAAGATAACAGTGCTTTCATCACATGTTGGACTAAACCAATGCAGCTGTTGCGGGGGTGGTTTAATTTTGACAAATAGTTTGACAATCACGAGTTGCAATGAAAACAAAGCGTGATTATTACGATCGTTTGAGTTTGGGTGACGAAAAATATAACTGAAAGCAATTACATAGTAGATTTATATTGAAACCATTGATCGCCAGTCTATCAAATTTTATTCACAATGAAAATATCACTGATTGCACGGATACTCGTAAAAATACAGCCATATATAAACTAAAAATATCCTATCTTCTTTATTATGTTATAAATAATTTAACAAGGATCATGAAGCTCACCTCTGAAGTCTCTGAGTGTATTGTTAATTTGATAGCATTCTTTTGATCAAATAATAACCGCTTCAATAACATTTACAAGCGTGTTGTTTATATATATCATATTAAAGATAATCATAGGTAATATTTAAGGCTGGTAAAACGAAAGTATGTGCGTTCAAAAGAAAATTATCCCATCTGAGTCGCTAATCAAATAATTATTAAAACAAAATATTCCAAAAGGTAAATTTATAAAATTTGCAGAGATTTTACTAGAATGTAAAAAACGGTAACAAAATAAAAGAATACGGACAGTTATGTGTGTGAACGCCCAAACTCAATGCCAAGCCAAGATTTGTAGCTTTTTCTTAAACCAAACTTGAATTGTCGTAAAAGTGCTGAAAACCGTTTCGATTTGCTATGCTGTCACCCCTTATATGAAATGTATCTCCCGGAGAGTGACATAATCAGCTTCCATATTGGTATTTTTCTCTATGTCAAAAATTTGTGGGATTTCAATTTTTTAAGAGAAAACTTTTTTATTCGTTGGGATAATTATGGATTTTATTTAACAGGAGTTGATTTCAAACACACAGGTAAGTTTATAATAACCAAAGTTAAGTAGTTTGTTCATAATCAAAGAAGTCTGTTTAAAATTTACGATGGTTCAGACAGTAGGAGTAGTAACAGTTAGTGGAGTTAGGCTACACTACCATGTTACAGCCAGACACACTGGTAATGATATTGATACCCATAATATGAAATAAGCATTGCATAGAAGCTCCCTCTGATTTGTCTGTGGTTGGGATGCAAGACTACAAAAGATAATAGAAATTAGACAACAGGTTCATGACCTGGCTATTCCAAATCAGACAGAGGGAGTACTGACAATATACCCCTAATGAATTAAAGGCAGAGTAGTGATAGTTTCTAAATTATCTTGTAACCAGTTAAGGCATATAGTAATAAACTTTCAGAAGTCGTGCTTAACCAACTGAATTTAACGTTATAAATGATATATTAACACTGTTGTAGTTGTACATGTTGTTTTAAATCTTTATATTGATGTTTGACAGAACATAAAGTAGCTATTGGGTTGGGCCATTGTGGGAATTGATTATTGATCTGTTGTTACAAACCAACTTCGAAAAGCTGATTAAGACATAGTTATAAACAGGTTACAAGATAATTTGGTTATGAAAAACAATATTTGTAGACTATACATCCGGTAATAATAGGTGTTGTTGCAAAAAAATACCCAATGAGTTAACGTACCTAGTGTTATTTAAAGAGCTCACTATCTTTTTTTTTGGAAAGATAGAAAATTATACTTTACGTATTGTTTTTCAGAAAAAAAGAGAGGTGTATGTAAAATTGAATTAGCTGACATCAAGCCAGGAGATAGACACACAGTTCTTTCATGGGAACAGGTAAGTCAATATCCACTGGGTTAAGATTTGATTGAAATCATTACAGCACATACAGCAAGACCAACATACTGTATTCCCTAATATATTATATTATGTACACTTTGCTTTTTTGATAAGCCATGACGCTGGTTTGGGATTTGGGCCTATATTTGATTATGATTCTCAAAGAATCTGGAGGAAAAGCAATGATATCATGGTCTGTGATATAACGCTCGGTGGAAGTGAACGTTAAACCACATCATGTATTTCTATAGGCAAATAATTCATATGATATTTATCTACTTTCAGAGAAATGCTTGTTTACTCCCAGAGGACTTGAAAAACTTTTACCTTTCAAGTAATGGCTTTGATCTCACTTGGTGTGTACAAATTGACAGTAAGTAAAATGATCTAAAATCATTTTAAACTGTAGATCAATCTCTCCAAATCAAAATACCGTATTAATTTATAGAAGGTTTAAAATATACTCAAAATTTTAAAAAATCAATCTTCAGAAACAAAATGATGGAAATCAATCAAATTGAAATGTTTGATGTTTTCTTAATGTTGAGTAACTGGTATTTAATAATTATTTTTTTCAGATAGTGAATTACCTGTTGGTAGAATGCACATACATCCTATAACTCAGGTTACTAAATTAAATGTTACCCCAAGTAATAGTCATATACATCCGTCATTAGCTGATTTAGAAACGGAATCTGATGATGAAGAAACAAATGGTAATTATTTTAGTTGTCCTACCTTATTGGATTTGTTTATGTGAGGCTCTGCAGTAAAGGTGGATTTGTTTATATAGGTTTCTGTAGTAAAGGTGGATTTGTTTATATAGGTCTTTGTAGTAAAGGTGGATTTATTTATATAGGTTTCTGTAGTAAAGGTGGATTTGTTTATATAGGTTTCTGTAGTAAAGGTGGATTTGTTTATATAGGTCTTTGTAGTAAAGGTGGATTGATTTATATAGGTTTCTGTAGTAAAGGTGGATTTGTTTATATACATGTAGGTCTCTGCATTAAAGGTGAATTATTTTATATAGGTCTCGGTAGTAAAGTTGGATTTGTTTATATAGGTCTTTGTAGTAAAGGTGGATTTGTTTATATAGGTCTTTGTAGTAAAGGTGGATTTGTTTATATAGGTCTCTGTAGTAAAGGTGGATTTGTTTATATAGGTCTTTGCAGTAAAAGGTTTGATCCCACGTTTCTATGTAGTAAGGAATAGAGTCACTAACCTATCCTTTTAGTCCCTCTCCGGGTTCCACTCTAAGAGTAAGAGCATCGTGTGTATGCCAGTTATTGGGTGGAAAGAAGAATTAAGATCTTGTTATGTTGAGGAGACATTAAAATCCACCTCTCTATTCCCCAGAAATATTAAAACTAAATCTGTCATTCCATTTTATTTTATGCAGGTCGAGATAAACCAAGGTTATGTGGATCTAGTGGAATATTTGAACTAGACGATTGTGGAGGATTTGGTAAAGTTTGTTTGGTTGTAAAGAAGAAAACAGGTGAGTGGAATGTGGTAGTTAAAATTTTATTATACAGGGAGCCAAGGTGGCTAAGTGGGTAAGACACATGCTCGCTACCCTGGAGATGGTTTGTTTGATCCCTGCATTGGTCAAGAAAGTTCTGACAACTTCTGAGGGCCTGACAAGGACAGCTGTCTAGTCATTCAGATAGGGCGAAAAACTGAGGCCCATGTACACATTGACGTGCACATAAAAGATTCCTTGGCAGTTGGAATTCGATATAATAGTAGGCCACAGTGCTGCTTCCCAGGCAAAATTTCACTCATAGCATACTGTTTGGCATATGCCTGTCTTCATTATCCCAGTCGGAGCAGAACAATAGGACGTTAAACCCCATTTCATTTCATTTTCATTTTATTATACAGTTGTGATTGATACATTACATTTAATTTAACAAAAGAGCATAACTTTCGCGAGAAATGTGATATATTACAATATATATATATATATATATGTCCTGATTATTTAGTTCTACAAACATCACCAAGTATTGAAAGTGAAAATCCATCAGATAATGAAGACGAGTATACCTGTAGTGGTAATCAATGATACTGTCCTTCCTAACAACATCTTAACAATGACATAACGATACCTAGACTGTGTTAGCTGACTTTACTGTAGGCCTGTACTGGTAATCAATGATACTGTCCTTCCTAACAACATCTTAACAATGACATGACGATACCTAGACTGGGTTAGCTGACTTTGCAGTAGGCCTGGACTTAATTAGATAATATCCTTTGGAATTGCCAAACACGTTGATTTTATATTGGAGCGTGTAAACAATGAAAGAGTTGCCTAGTCAAACGAATGGAATGGAAACTGAGTTTCACCGATGTACGTATTGATGTGCACCTTTGACAGTTGGAAATGAATTCCTAGTTTGTGTCAAGTGGACGTTAAACCCTTTTCCTTCTCTCTCTCCCTCCATTCCATGCTGCATTTAGATAGCTTCCATAGTAAGACAAAGTCAGCTAAATAAGTCTAGCTATCAGACATGTTAAAATGACATGGTGAGGATGGCCTGTTAATTCCTGTATATAATATGTATTAACTCATGAATATTATATGTCCTAACTCCTGTATATAATATGTCCTAATTCCTGTGTATAATCTATAGCTAAAAATAAACTACTTTTATTCACAGGTGTACCTGGCTCTGTGATAACAAAACATTCTAACGCTTTGCTAAGAATTTACTCACAATTTCCTCTCATCCTTTGGGATTTTTATTTAAAGATAGTCTAGTTATTCGAATGGTATGGAAAAAAACACAGTTTAGGTTACATATTAGTAGTGTACGTAAAGAAACCCTTGGCCATTAGAATTTGAGGTAAATTAGGTAAAAAATTCCCCCCCCCCCCTTACCTTTGATCAGTTAGGAAACAAATTAAATAGGAGTAAATTTTTAGTTAAGTATTCTTCTTTAGATTAATGTACGTGGCAAGGAGTAGGGTCGCCTGTCCAACCTCGTGGGTTTTCTCCGGGTCCTCCGGTTTCCTCCCACTGCTAAAGACCCCTACGCGCAAGCGAATTATGTAAATAAAATTAAACCATATGTTAGTCCCGAAATGACCTAGTTTGTGTCGAGTGGACGTTAAACCCCATTTCTCTCTCTTTAGATTAAATTAATGAGTAGTGATAGATAGTATTTTATGTGTACTCAGATATAGTATTTCATGATTACTCAGATGTAGTATTTCATGTGTACTCAGATATAGTATTTTATGTTTACTCAGATATAGTATTTTATGTTTACTTAAGGGTACTCAGATATAGTATTTCATGTGTACTCAGATATAGTATTTTATGTGTACTCAGATATAGTATTTTATGTTTACTTAAGGGTACTCAGATATAGTATTTCATGTGTACTCAGATATAGTATTTCATGTTTACTTAGGAGGTAGTGGTTCTTTTTCCACAAACATTTATTAAACCAAGAGGCCTAGATCTAAATTTGTAGAACATTTTGTTTTAATTAAGAAAACTTGTAAACAACCCTATGTCAGGAAAAAAATATTTTAATACTATTTTGAATTCCTTTTTTTAACTATGTGAACTAACAACAAGTGTTTCAAATGTTTTAGTAAAACTTGTTGTGGTCATGAACCAAGATGTATTTATAACACAAACTTTTGTCTATTGTTTGGAGCCATGGTGGCAAAGTGGGTAAGACACTGGCTTGCTAGCCTGGAGGTCGCTTGTTCGATCCCTGCATTGGTTTCCCCTTGTCAGTGGTGCAGGACGGAGGCCTGTGTACACATTGGCATACACGTAAAATATCCCTTGGATGTTAGGATCCTGAACCAGCATGACCCTGTAAATGTTTAAAGCCATCGAATTTAGGCCTGGGTCCCGGGCGAATAACGTTTTGTAGCTGCCCTCCAAAACCACATATTATGTGGTATCAAATTAACCAGCATGACTCTGTGAATGTTTTAGGCCATCCAATTTGGGCCCCAAGTGAATTTTGGCATCAGGCGAATTTTTTATGGGTTTTCCTTAAGAACTAAAATTCAAATTGGTTTCGATTCCATGGTTGTACATGACAAGGATTAGGGTCGCCTGTCCAACCTCATGGGTTTTCTCCGGGTCCTCCAGTTTTCTCCCACCGCTAAAGACCCCTATGCGCAAGCCAATTATTGCAATAAAATTGAACCATGTGTTAGTCCCAAAATGACCTAGTTTGTGTCGAGTGGACATTAAACCCCATTTCTCTCTCTATTGATGTACTGTGGGTTCTATGTTTTGTTGAGGCAGTTTAACAGTTTAATTAACAGTTTGAATGCAGTGGTTTTTTTTATTAAAATCGCAAGTCATAATGCAATGACATCCCTACAATCATTACCGTACTTGCATTACAATTTTTACAGCAAGAAATATCAGAATTTAGATTAATTTTTTTTTTTTTAAGGCAGCTCAAATTTTGAGAAATGAGACCCCTAAACTGTTGTGACTAATATTAATTTTTATACGCCCGCATTGAAATGTGGTCGTATATTGTTGTCGCCCCTGTCCGTCGATCCGTCGGTTAATATCCGATTGACTTTAAATTTATACAGTGTTTAAGGTCATGAGAAGAAGACGCCTATTGATTTTCAATGATTTTCGATAATTACTGCCAGAGTTATGGCCCTTGATCACTTCAAAAAATCTTGTGGGCGCTTTAGAGGTCAAAGTTAATATCTGATTGACTTTAAATTTATACACAGTGTTTAAGGTCATGAGACGAAGAATCCTATTGATTTTCAGCGATTTTCGTCAGAGTTATGGCCCTTGATCATCTTGTGGATGCTCTAAAGGCTAAAGTTAATATCCGATTGACTTTAAATTTATACACAGTGTTTAAGGTCTTGAGACGAACAAGTATATTGGTTTTCAATGAATCTTTATGACATAAAACAGCTATATACTATGATGTTAAAAGTTTTGTATACTATTACTAAACATTAGTATGGGGCAGACTTTATAAAAACAAAACAAATTCTAAAGTTTTTCTTATAATTACTTAATGAGTTGTTACTCTTAATCAGATTTTAATGTATTATAAATGTTTCATTACCGAAAAAAGTAAAAATATCGACAACTCTTGTTGACTGCCCGGACGATATAGCTGCTGTGGGCGTATGTTTTGATGCCTGGCAACCTATCTTTATTACAAATATACATGTAGGACACTTAATAACTAGAATCTCACCTGGAAAAGGTGTCTATTTTATATTTATTTTATTATTAAATGTGTCACAATGCAGTGTCAACACAGGGCAATGAAAAACTACATTCATCTTGAACACACACTTGTATACATGTACATTGCTAAAGGCAAATTTAGTTAAATATTTTTCTGTTTGATACATGTATAAACAATTTCAAACTTATATCATGATCTTGTAGCCTATAGTCAACATTACCTCATGAAATGCAATCAGATTTAATTACATCAACAGAAAGCCTGTAATATAACAACTCTTCCCGATCCTAGTGTAGTAAAGACAATCTAAATGAAATTTTGAACTTTAATTAGATTGCATGAAATGTAGCCATTACAATTGTAAAATACAACCTAGGTAGATGGTGGTTTAGCTTTGCTGTCAATTTCTCACTTTTGTTAATTAACACACCGTATCTACAGATTTTAGCCTCGCGGTATTAGATTTGTTGCGATGATTAGAATTTTACCGATATTTGCAGAAATTTACTAAATTCGGTAGAAAACTATACTCTATGTGCACAGATCTCACCTTTGATACTTCTCAGTGTAAAGACTAGTGAAATGAAATTTTGAACTATAAAAAACAAAATGAAATAAGATCTATGTTTTAATCACATTGCATGAAATGTAGCCATTACAACGGTAAAATACAACCTGGTAGATGGTGGTTTGGCTTTGCAGTCACTATGAGATCCATGTTTTTACTTCCAGACCCAGTTAATATTGGATTTGTATATATTTTATTTATCTTATTGTACAGGTATTACTGAACCTAAGGTAGAAATCTGGTTTATGGATCGTAGTATAAGATGGCATTTCGTAGCTGATTCGTTCTGTGCATATTATCGACTGATGTTGATGCATCTAGGTCTACCTCAATGGCAGTATGCATTTACAGATATAGGATTAAGTTTACAAACAAAGGTATGTACATGATAGGATGTGTTTGTTGGGAATCGAAGCTGTGCTAGTTATATTTTTTAACACAATTGCTTTCTTTGATGACCACTGAGACCTTTGGCCCCAGTCGTGCTGATTGTTTCCATATCATTGTCTGATAGAAATTCGTCAGAATATGACATATCCTTATCTTTATGTATGAGTTTCTGTATAGCTAATATCTTGGGATGAATTGTCTTCTAACTTGGGATGAGTTGACTTAATATTGGTATGAGTTGTCTTGGGACGATTTGTCAGGTATTCATCCAAACACCTCTGCCAAGAGTCAAGGGATCCCTCACCCCCCCCCCCCCCCCCACAAAGACCCATTCAGTAGAAAGATTAGTTAAACTGAAGACAGCACAATCTATTATAGTACTATCAGACTTCTTTCCTAGTTGTGTTTGGTTTCTTCATTAACCTAATATATAGCACTACAGGTTAAATGGTTCCTACAACTTTATTGTTAAGCTGGAATGACTTCGAAGGTTCCTTGTTGTCAATAAAAAATAGCTGCTTGGAATACCTGGACGAGCTCTGACCAGTCTTGCTAAACACCCTCTTTTATAACCCCCTAATTTCTGCAAGTCTTAGATTAACCTTGACCTTAATTTCCATCCCAAATATGAAATAAACCTCCCCATTTCTCAAGACCAGGGAGGTGAGCATTACCTTATTTGGGTACCAACCATAGGTCAATAAACAGACAGAATTTGATGGCTATTTTGATAATGGTTAGGATTTTACAAAAATATCACTGTTTTTTTATTTTTAAATATATCATTCACATTCATTAAATATGTGTGATTTGATTCTATAGAAGAGTGAAGCAACAATTTTTCAAAGACCCGATATTTTCTTAAAGACCAAAGTGCTACACTATCCCAGATATTAGAACAGTCACACCCCATATTAACATTCCTGATAGTTGATAGGTGTTCTTTCGTAAACTTTACTGCTGAATACTGTATTCCTTTTAAGATACCTGTCTGGAAGGAAATTTACGGACATTCTTTTGTAGGTCTAAAGCCTGCCCTACCCCCACACCCATGCAACAAAATGTAATGTCTATCCACCCATTCTTTGAAAAATTGTGTGAAAAACATGCAGAAATATTTCCACAAATAATTTATTTTGATAGTGGTTCACCACTTCTTTCAAAACTTCTGAAATGTTTCCAATATTCTTTTAGGGGAAACTTATTTATGTTTTAGTAAATGAAACCAAATTAATTTCAACATTTTGTTCAATTATAGCAATGGTTTAATATGTATGCTCCAATAAGATTAGAAGTTGATCTGGAAGGATCGTATGAAATGAGTTCACCACGAGATCATGATACTACATCTACAGGGTCTCAACTAGATGTAAATAAAGTATTTAAAGGAAAAGGTGATAAAAAGTAAGTCTTTACTCTAAAAGGAAATGAAATGGATTTAACATCCTACTGCGAGCTGGGCTAATGAAGACTAATGAAGACGGGCATACGCCATACAGTGTGCTATGAGGGAAATTTTGCCCGGATATCGAATTCCAACTGTCAAGGGATCTTTTAAACGCATGTCAATGTGTACACACAACCTCGTTTTTTTGGTCCCATCCGAACAACTAGACATCTGTCCTTGTCGGGCCCTCCGTCCTGCATCACTGACAAGGCAAGGGGGGAATCACGCCGGAAACCTGGATGAACTTTCTCGGCTAATGCAGGGATCAAACACCTGACCTCCAGACTAGAGAGCCAGCGTCTTACCCACGTGATCCCCCTTTATACTTCACAAACAATACAGGTAATGTAAAGTGGTTTGCAAATTCATAAAGTTAACCACGTTTTACAGAAGTACTTTATATTGATTGGTTTCTAATTCTCTATAAATATCTATATTTTGTGTTTTTTTTGCGTAGGAAACAGGTAAACCAGACTCAAAATCAAGCTCAAACTAAAAAAAAGGCAGCAGTCTCATCAGCCAGGTTATTATTTAAATCATTTTACAAATCAACTCTCCTTCCAACAAATTCATTGGTTAGGAAAAATTTCAATTTATTGGTTATACTGGTAAGGAAAGAAACAAAATATGAGACTAACATGTGGTAGTTTTTACTCCCATGGTTATGTGTGCAAGGAGAAATTTCTTGAGACAGCTGCATCACCTAGTCTAGTCCTTATCAATTTCCCACTGCCATTGATTCTTTCACATGTAGTTTATTTTTTTTTTATCATCCTATTCATGGACAGGCAACCATATATACGGTCCATGTCCAATCCAATGGACTGGTCTCCTAGGCACTAACCCTGACATGTGAAGGCTAGGCTTGAAAATTCCTGAAGGCTTCTCGGCTATAATGTTTAGAACAACTTATAGCTAACCTAATCTGTTTCACACGTGTCGTCACATCATGTGACGTCAATCATTGGCTGAATGGCGCGTGCATTGTTTACATAAGACGTTACTGCTTCAGGCGGAATGCTGCCTTTTAGTCATTTTAATACCCATTTACACTAATAGGAAATAATTTTTACCTACAAATACATCAAATGCCTTTATTTATTTTTCCAATACATAAAAAAAATGTTTTAGAATTTGTCGCAGAATTTTTTTTTTAATATTTGTGGCTCATTAAGTCGCATCAATGTCATCCTTATCAGTGATTGTAGCGGCCTAGCGAATATTCACTGCTGATCAGTGTGAGGCTAACCATGCATTATAACAGGCCAGAAAAAATATTGTCTTTGATTCTCAGTTTTGTATAGCTAGCCTTTTATTGTCAAATAGTGCAGTTTTTTTTTATGCCTGCGCTTCTCTATAAAAGTTTTATATGCACTCACAGTAATACACAACATTAATATGTTTGTTTACTTGATCCTTCGGATTTAATTTTACTTTCAGATCTCTGAGTGCATTACCTGGAAAATCAGCCAGTTCCTCTTCACAATCGTCAATAAAAGCCACCAGATGATGTACAACTGGCTGACAGTACCTATAGTATTAAATGGCAGCTGTCGATGAGTTGTGACAAGTTACACATGTGTATCTAGAATCATCACACCTGTCTATTTGCATCATAGCACCTGTGTATCTAGTTATCTAGAATCACCACACTGTGTATCTAATGACTTAGTTGAAAACTAAAAAAACTTGTTAATAATTAAAGTTATTTTATTCATGTGTAACAAAACTAGTAGATGGATAGAATATATATTTTTGTACAATTTATACAACGATAGCACTTTAGATTTAAATAAAGTATATTTATCTATATTTGTCTAGGTACATGAGTAGTTTGTCTTGACATCTCATCTCTTTTCATAGGGAGAGAGAAATGGGCTTTAACGTCCACTTGACACAAATTAGGTCATTTCGGGGCTAACATATGGTTCAATTTTATTTCAATAATTCGCTTGCGCCTGGGGATCTTTAGCAGTGGGAGGAAACCAGAGGTCCCGGAGAAAACCCATGAGGTTGGACAGGCTACCCTACTCCTTATCACGAACAAGCTGGGAATCGAAACCACGCCAGTTGACTCAATGACAGAGCTTATGATGCAACGCGCACACATAATCCATTCGGCCACCCAAACCCTCCTCTTTTCATAGATAATACAATGACAGCACTATAAATATGGTGCCCATCCAATATACATTTGACATAAATTCTTCTCATCTGTTGCTTCCTGAATAAAAACAAAAACAAAACAGATGCAATAGAGTGAGAGATTTCTTTCAAACTAATGAGAGGTTTCCAGATATAATATAAAGCTGCGAACCAATTTGAGTAAATAAATATAAATAACTAAACAAATAATAGCCGTATCTTGATCTAAACTTCATTAAACGGACAATAACACTCTTGCTGGCTTGACAGCTCCAGAAAATAAATAATAGCCTTATTCTAAGTACTAGATGTTTAAGTGTCCTACCTGTTGTGTAAATTATCCATTACATCCTATTTTACTTGTCCAGAGGGTTCGAAAATATTTTTAAATCCAAGTCACATTTGAAAAGGTTTACGTTAGGCTTTTCAAATCATTTAGTTGAATTTTTCCAATTTTTTAAATTAGGTGTGTTAAGATGAAATTTGTATCACCAATTAATTGGAATATTGTAAAATAGTACAATTTGTTGACCAGAATAAAGATTTGGACATATTATTCAGTTACAACAAGAGTGGTATTGAGCCTTTAAAGATACTTTCCCCGCACATACAAACTGTGTGATATGATGATATATACTATTAAAAAAAAGTAGGGGGCATAATACTAAAATATGCAAATGACTACGAAAAAAGTCACTATAGAACCTAACAGAAGAAACATTTCCAGTTACATGTGACGCCCAAACGCACCAATAGCTACCGCATGGAATGCAGGTGATGCTTGGGATCATCATGGGGGTCCAACCCAAGATTTGCACGACTCTGACTTTGAATGTTACAGTCATTGTGGCATTGAAACATCAGTTTAATTGTTTTAGTGACCAGAAAACAAATTTTGATATGCGTCGGCTTACCCAAAATGAAAGGTTACGTGCCCTTGGCATGCTACAGATCGGCACAACACAGGCGGTTGTAGCGCGGACGATGAATGTTTCTCAGTCTGTCATAAGCAGGCTATGGTCCAGATACCGTGATACACAATCTGTACAGGACAGACCACGCTCAGGTCGACCAAGGGCGACAACTCAAGCCCAGGATCGATTTATCCGTACCTTGGCCTTGAGAAATCGTGCCATCACAGCAAATCAGATCAGCGCTCGTCTTCAAACAGACACTGGTATGAGAGTGAGTGGCCAGACGATTCCGAATCGACTGCATAGGGGTCACCTTCACGCCCGACGTCCTCGCGTGATCCCTTGTTTGAGAGATCATCACATTCAGGGATAATCGACGCTGGAGCAATGTGATGTTTTCAGATGAGTCAAGGTTCACTGTTGATTTTTTGGACAGACGTAGGAGGGTGTGGCATCGTCGAAACGAGCGCTTCCAAGACGTTAACGTCATCAGACATGATCGATTTGGGGGTGGTTCTGTTATGGTGTGGGGAGGCATCACTGTTGCTGGAAGAACGGCTTTACATGTTGTTGCAGGGCGTGTTACAGGCCAGTACTACCGGGACAACATCTTGGCAGTCCATGTTGTATCTTCCAGGATGACAACGCAAGATGTCACAGGGCCAGGATCGTTACAGGTTACCTCCAACAACAGAACATCAACACATTACCTTGGCCAGCACTGAGTCCCGACCTCTCCCCCATCGAGCATGTCTGGGACATGCTTGGACAGAGGTTACGTCAACGTCAACAACGTCCTGCCAATGTCCAAGAACTTGCTGCTGCGTTGCAACAGGAATGGGACAATCTGGACCAAAATGACCTTAGACGTCTCATTAGGAGTATGCCACGTCGATCAATGCTTGTTTGGCAAACAGAGGAGGATTTACCCGTTACTGACTTGGTTGTGATGCTGTGGTAACTTTGCTGTTTGACCCCGGGTATCATTTTACCCTTATAATGGTCAGTCTGTGCCTTACTTAGTCTAACGATCATTTGGAATAAATCGATGAATGTGAACTTCATTTCATTTTGTCATTTGTTTCTTCGTCAGTTTCATTAGGTGACTTTAATAACACTTAAAAATCAAATATTCCCTACTTTTTTTGAATAGTATATTTAGAGTAAAAACATATTCAAACTAATTAATCTATCAAAAATTTTGTTCAAAACTTTGTATTCATCGGATATACCGCAAGCTAAAAATAATGTGGACACCAATGGTTTGTAGTGACATGTTGTGGAAATAGTGGTGGTGTGTGGATAGGAAAGGCTGGTTCCTATTTGTGAGGGTAAGATAGAGAGAAAGAAATGGGATTTAACCCCCACTCAACACAAACTAGGTCATTTCGGGACTAACATATGGTTTAATTTCTATTTCAATAATTCGCTTGTGCGTAGGGGTGTTTAGCAGTGGGAGGAAACTGGAGGACCCGGAGAAAACCCAAGAGGTTGGACAGGCGACCCAACTGTCAGTACAACCAGGGAATCAGAACCCCGTCAGTTGACTCGATGACAGACCTCACTATACAGCACACATGCCATCCAACCCCCCTGTGATGGTAAGATGTGTGTAAACCTACCTGTATCAGATGATTAACATGACCTTCTATAGATAATGGTAAACCTCTAGGTTTCGTTTTATTCTTTAATATACCTTTTAAGCGATGTTCTATATTCTGAACATGGTTCATAGCCTGAAATAAAATAATTATATTCCATCCTGCTAATCATTTCTAACACAAATATAATGGCATTGTCATCTAATGGTGAGAAGCCAAGTAAAATTAGGTGAAGATAAGTTTAAACCAATCTGATTAAAATACAGATCTATATTTAGTTTCATTTTTTTTATACTTTTGATAGCCTACACTACATGAAGATTTGAAGATCTGACCAGTTGTAGTGGAAGGTTGCGTCAGGGGTCACAAGAGCAGCTTTTGACCCTATAACATCAGACATTTGATTAACCAATCAGCATTGATGTTTCTAGTGGTTTACCCACAGTTCCGTGCAACGAATGCCAAGAACTTGCCGTAACAGACCGTTTCATTGACTAATCCTTCACTTCAACCAGAACACTGGTAATTATAATATAACTACTCTTCAGATCATAGTGTAATAAAGACAAGTAAAACGAAATTTTGAACTATAAAAAACGAAATGAAATAGGATCTTTATGTGTTTTAATCAGATTGAGTTTAAAAGAGAGAGAGAGAGAAATGGGGTTTAACATCCACTCGACACAAACTAGGTCATTTCGGGACTAACATATGGTTTAATTTTATTTCAATAATTTGCTTTAGCAGTGGGAGGAAACCGGAGGACCCGGAGAAAACCCACGAGGTTGGAGATTGAGTTTAAACAAGCTAACATTGAGGCTAATAATGTGCACTGCCTTAATCCCAAAATAAATAGAACACCCATTACTGGCAATTATCTGCAGTTTTTGTTGTTTTTTCTTTTCATTTATAAAATTACTATTAAAGAATTGTGGCATAAAACTGTTAATGTGTGAGATGTCAGGTATTACTAGTTTTAAAGAATTGGTAAGCTACATGCATAAAAACTTATTAAGTATTAGTGACTAACCTGTTCATTTGATATTTCACCAGTATCTGTTGGATTCGATCTCTGTCCTCTACTTGGTTTACTCCATTCTACTAACGGATCATAGATAAATGGTCGTAAAACACTGAAAATATATATCACAGACTGATGTCAGCTAAATATATATGACAGATTGATGTCAGCTAAATATATATGACAGACTGATGTCAGCTAAATATATATGACAGATTGATGTCAGCTAAATATATATCACAGATTGATGTCAGCTAAATATAAATCACACACTATGACCAACACCACAGAAAAATATATCACAGACTGGACTTTTACTCAGCTATATCCCCACCACAGCTAAATCTTCAGAGAAGTCCATAAAGGCTGTCACATTTCTATTTTTTTGTCTGGTGGGAGCATCTACATGCCCCTAAAAACTTATCATGGGTGACAGCCCATGAAGTTATTATAAGAAGTAATTAAAAATTTGATAAATTATTAGTTCTTCCTGTTGGCCGAGAAAGTTCAACAGGATTTTCCGGCATGGTTTTCCCTTATCAGTGGTGCATGTAAAAGATCCCTTGGCAGTTGGAATTTGATATAAGAGTAGACTGCAGCACTGCTGTCCAGGCAAAATGTCCCTCATAGCACAATGTATGGCGTATGTCCGTCTTCATTAGCCCAGTTGGAGCAGAAGAGTAGGACGTTAAACCCCATTTCATTTCTTTTTTATTTTAGTTTTTCCTAGTGCTAACATAAATAAAACGTGTACCAGTAATCTGATAACATAACTTGTCTGAGTTATCGAAAATTGTTAAAAGTGTCTGCAATCAATTGAGGATAATGGACCAGCAGACAGCGTTACAACAATTTACAACCACTTAAATAGAGCTAAATCTGCCAATTGCAGGTCTTTCTTTAGGCCTGAAATGTTATCTAAATTATTAATTAGACATTAATTAACTTATCCAGACTATAATCAACTCTCGATGGCATCGCTAGCCTGCGATATTTACTGGATTATGATCCCATTTGCTGCTCGACTTCCATTCATAATTTAATCATGAAATGGATGATCGAGACTATGTTTTTTATTGTACAGACTTTAGTAATGATGATCGAAGCTAGGCCGAAATTTCAATCGCTTAATTCTCGGTTCAGAGTGGATCAATTTGACTGAAATTTTCAGCAAATTGCCTTTACATTATCTAGTTTATAACTATTATAGTGAGAACTGCCAGCTCTTTATCTTATCTCCCATAATATATCTTTTCGAATGTGGGATAATAAAAACTACATGACTCAACATGTTTTGATTGATAATATTACCTCATTAATGTATCCATTTGATCTCTCATTACACGTAATGATACTTCACACGCTCGTCTAAATATACCCTCTACTCCCATTGGTCCCTACAATATAAAATACACTTAAACATACTTTCCCACAAAAGTATTTATCGAGGGGTTTTTTCCAATATAAGTATGGCAATTTTGGTACATATGGAAAGTTACTTTTCCCACAAAATTATTTATCGGGTGGTTATTTCCAATAGAAGTATGGCAATTTTGGTATATATGGAAAGTAGATAGAGACACACAATCTTACCAGAAAAGTACTTAATTCTATGGGAAACACCCATGGAGCACGCACATGGTAAACATGAGAGGGTGTAACCAATTGATACAGTAGGATGTTAAACCACATTTCATTTTTCGTGAAAGAGTATTACTTTTAAAACTATATCCAATCAGAAGACAATATTCTAAATAGATATGCATTATAACTTGTTACTTTTGTACCATACATGTGAAATAATACATACCAAGACATCAATCATGTTTGGTGTCAGTCGAAAGGGGACCTTCTCTGCCCATTCAAATGTTTCACCCTGTTGAAAAAGACATTACACTACTTAGATAATTAATATAATTAAGATAATCTAATATTAAAACATAGTAATTATCAAAGAAACCAAATAACAACATACTTCAATATCAATTTGTGGTCTAAGGGGAGATAAACATATTACACTATTTATTTATAGTACACTATAAGATAAATCTTATATTAAAACATAGTAATTTTGTTTAATTGATTATCAAAGCAATCAAATTATAGCTTAATTCAATAGCATTTTGTGGTCTAAGGGGAGATAAAATGATCATAAGGTTGCTTGGAGGAGTTACTTCCCCTTGATCCATTTTTCTGCTTTCTGCACATCCGTATAGAATAAGATTTCTAGAATTTCTTGGTCTGTTATGCAAATGAAATGGGGTTTAACGTCCTACTATTCTGCTCCGAACTGGGCTAAGGGCTAATGAAGACGGGTATACATCATACAGTGTGCTATGAGGGAAATTTTGCCCGTACAGCTGCACTACAGCCTACTCTTATATCAAATTTCAACTGTCAAGGGATCTTTTACGTGCACGCCAATGTGTACACAGGACCTCGGTTTTTCGTCCCATCTGAACGACTAGACAGCTGTACTTGTCAGGCCCTCCGTCCTGCATCACTCACGAGGGGGAAACATGTCAGAAAATCGGGTGAACTTTCTCAGCCAATGAAGGGATCGAACACCTGATCTCCAGGGGTCAGTTATGCCATCAATTACTGTGTATTTGTTTTGAATATGACGATTATTTCTATGATAACTTACCTTGTTAAATAAACAGTTAAAATCAACATGGACTGTATCACCAGTTTTAGAATCAAAGAGAATATTTTCACCATGTCGATCACCTAATCCTAGAATATACCCCACTACACTCATAACAGCTGATGTTCTAGCATAGGCTAACCTTGCATTATACCTGTAATGAATACATTAAGATATATTAAGATACTACATGTATATGGTCTCATGCAATCAAAACTGTTAAAGAGACCATCAAGGTACGATGTGGTCTCGTGCAAAAAATGATCGTATTATACCCCTGAACCTTCTCGGCAAAAATCAGGACCGAACCTTCTCATTATCTAGCCAGTGCTTTGTCATTGAGCTACGGTGGCTTGTTATATTTGTAAGAACAGTCACTTAATAAGGTGACGAAAATTATTATTGTTGACCAGTCATAGAAGGAAGTTTGCTTGGTGTTCAGGAAGTCATATTAGTGTCTTGGTATTTGAGTCTAAATAGTAAACAAGATGGCCATGCAAAAGCTCTGTTTTGTGAAATAAAATGAAATCAAATAAAATGTAGTTTAACGTCCTACTCTTCTGCTCCTAAGATGGGCTAATGAAGACGGGCATATGCTAAACAGTGTGCTATAAGAGGAAATTTTGCCAGGGCAGCGGCACTATGGCCTACTCTTATATCGCATTCCAACTGCCAAGGGATCTTTTACGTGCACACCAATGTATACACTGGACCTCAGGTTTTCGGCCCATCTGAACAACTAGACAGCTGTCCTTGTCAGGTCCTCTGTCCTGCATCACTGACAAATAGAAACCACGTCGGAAAATCCTGATAAACTTTCTCGGCCAATGCAGGGATCGAGCACACGCGACCTGTTTTACGAGAAATTGTGGAAAGTAAAATGTTTGTAAAATCAAAAGATATTGACTGTCTAAAATTTTGTGTGGGTAATTAGTCACCCTGAACGCCCTCTGGTAAAAGAACCAAAAATCCTTTATAAATCAAAATAAACATACCATGAGGTTGGATCAGGAAAAGTTCTCAAAAACCACTCCTTAAATACTGGGGGATGTTTAGGTAAAAATTTGGTTTTAAATATTTGAAGTTTGGTACTGAAAAGAGAACAGTTTCATCAGAGGGGAAATATTAATATTTACAAACTATCATGAAGCATAGAAATTGAGATATTCAAAAGAGAGAGAGAGAGGGTTTAGGTTTAACCTCTAGATGACACAAACCAGGTCATTCCCGGACTAACATATGGTCCAATTTTATTTTAATAATTCGCTTGCGCATAGGGTTCTGTAGCAGTGGGAGGAAATCGAAGGACCTGGTAAAAACCCACGAGGCTGGACAGGTGACCCTACTCCTTTTCACTTACAACCGGGGAATCGAAACCATACCAGTTGACTCAATGACAGACTTATGATATGACACGCGCACATACTAACCATTCAGTCATCCAACCCCCCCCCCCCCCCCCTATATTTAAAATAACATAAGATTTGAGATGCAAACTAAGGGGAGTGTTTGATCGTAAGTCTGGACTGTTAGGAATTGACAGAATTGCAATCATGTGACATGGAATTCAGTCTTGTCTCAGCTCTGTCAGACATTTTTGGTGATGTGGTGTGGGCAGAATTGTGATGTCGTCCAACAAAAACATTGGACATGTTTCAGTGGTTTGACCTAGATATTTTCTAAGTAAACTTACTCTATAGAAGAATGTAACGATGGCATCATGGCTTTAAGTTCTTTACCAGTTGTATATAAACCTTTCTCTTTATATAGTTTCATTAATATATATCTTAAACCACTCGTATTATTCACCCATTCTAATAAACCACATTCTTCATTTAATGGTACTACCGTCTAGTCAAAACAATATAATATTTAATGGTTTGACAGTCTACACAAAACAATATCCAATAATATTTAATGGTTTGACAGTCTAGTCAAAACAATATCCTATAATATTTAATGGTACTACGTCTAGTCAAAACAATTATTTAATGGTAATACATCTAGTCAAAACAATATAATATTTAATGGTACTAGGTCTAGTCAAAACAATATCATATAATATACTATTCAAAAAAAGTAGGGGATATTTGATTTTGGGGGCATAATACTAAAATATGCAAATGACTACGAAAAAAGTCACTATAGAACCTAACAGAAGAAACATTTCCAGTTACATGTGACGCCCAAACGCACCAATAGCTACCGCATGGAATGCAGGTGATGCTTGGGATCATCATGGGGGTCCAACCCAAGATTTGCACGACTCTGACTTTGAATGTTACAGTCATTGTGGCATTGAATTCCAGGGTGGAAACATCAGTTTAATTGTTTTAGTGACCAGAAAACAAATTTTGATATGCGTCGGCTTACCCAAAATGAAAGGTTACGTGCCCTTGGCATGCTACAGATCGGCACAACACAGGCGGTTGTGGCGCGGACGATGAATGTTTCTCAGTCTGTCATAAGCAGGCTATGGTCCAGATACCGTGATACACAATCTGTACAGGACAGACCACGCTCAGGTCGACCAAGGATCGATTTATCCGTACCTTGGCCTTGAGAAATCGTGTCATCACAGCAAATCAGATCAGCGCTCGTCTTCAAACAGACACTGGTGTGAGAGTGAGTGGCCAGACGATTCGGAATCGACTGCATAGGGGTCACCTTCGCGCCCGACGTCCTCGCGTGATCCCTTGTTTGAGAGATCATCACATTCAGGCAAGACGTTGTTGGTGTAGGGATCGTCAACACTGGGATAATCGACGCTGGAGCAATGTGATGTTTTCAGATGAGTCAAGGTTCACTGTTGATTTTTTGGACAGACGTAGGAGGGTCGGCGTCGTCGAAACGAGCGCTTCCAAGACGTTAACGTCATCAGACATGATCGATTTGGGGGTGGTTCTGTTATGGTGTGGGGAGGCATCACTGTTGCTGGAAGAACGGCTTTACATGTTGTTGCAGGGCGTGTTACAGGCCAGTACTACCGGGACAACATCTTGGCAGTCCATGTTGTGCCGTTCGCACGACGTCATGGCCGCCGTTTCATCTTCCAGGATGACAACGCAAGATGTCACAGGGCCAGGATCGTTACAGGTTACCTCCAACAACAGAACATCACCACATTACCTTGGCCAGCACTGAGTCCCGACCTCTCCCCCATCGAGCATGTCTGGGACATGCTTGGACAGAGGTTACGTCAACGTCAACAACGTCCTGCCAATGTCCAAAATGACCTTAGACGTCTCATTAGGAGTATGCCACGTCGGATCAATGCTTGTTTGGCAAACAGAGGAGGATTTACCCGTTACTGACTTGGTTGTGATGCTGTGGTAACTTTGCTGTTTGACCCCGGGTATCATTTTACCCTTATAATGGTCAGTCTGTGCCTTACTTAGTCTAACAATCATTTGGAATAAATCGATGAATGTGAACTTCATTTCATTTTGTCATTTGTTTCTTCGTCAGTTTCATTAGGTGACTTTAATAACACTTAAAAATCAAATATCCCCTACTTTTTTTGAATAGTATATTTAATGCTTCTAAGGTCTACTAAAAACAATATCATACAAAATTACTAAATAGTTGTTTTTTTTCACACACTAATTTCCAAATTCACAAAACCTGCCTAATATTCTCTGACACATAATTATTATGAAGTTCCTAACATTTACAAACAAATAACAAACTTACGTAAGTTCGAATATGGAGATTTCTTCGTCTTGATTCAGGATCTTTTCTCAGAAATTTATTGATAATTGTGTTAAATTCCATCAATCTACAATCTTTTCTCAAATCATCCTAGAAAACATAAGAGGGCTAACTTGAGTCATCTACAATTCATTATTAAGAGTATTATGCTAGAAAAATAACGATACAGAGCAAGCTTCTTGATCAGAAATTATACACGATTTTCAGAGCAAGTTTCTTGATAAAAATTAGACATCACCTTCAGAGAAAGTTTTACACAGCGTCTTAAGAGCAAGATTCTGTATCAAAAGTAAAACGCCATATTGACAGACTTACTACAGTTTGCAAGCGAGATAGACCAATACTCAGAACAGTTAAAAATATTTACACACAGTAGATATACGGATACAGTAACAAACAGTGCTGCTCATACAAAATCACTTTCTTGCTTAAAGATTAAAGTGTCGAACGTGAGTATGAAACAGATACATTCTACAATGTACAAATGTAATGTAGAAACGTAGCTCCAATTAATATACAGTAATTGCTTTCTACTGTTGTTTATTTTATTAATGTGTTAAATGTTATACCTTAGGTTTACACATCATAACATATCTTTTACCTTAGGTTTACACATCATAACATATCTATTATCTTAGGTTTACACATCATAACATATCTTTTACCTTAGGTTTACACATCATAACATATCTATTACCTTAGGTTTACACATCATAACATAACTTTTACCTTAGGTTTACACATCATAACATATCTATTACCTTAGGTTTACACATCATAACATAACTTTTACCTTAGGCCACACAAAATAAATGTCTTGTTTCTCGGGCAACTGACAGCTGAAACTGTAGGGAGGGAGGGCGGTTTCTTTTTTTTTTTTACTCATTGATGGTGCAAAATAAAATTTGGCTATTGCTGAAAATTGTTGGGGCGGGAGGGCGGTCTTTCTTTTTTTTTTTTTTTTTAAATGAGAAAGTCATTACTTGTTTACGTTTTTGCTTTCCGTTATATTCAACTTTATTGTACATACTTAAAACATAAACCCAAAATCAAGTCTACTAAAACACTGAGACTGAACACTGACTGAAAGGAAAATAATTTTCCATATTTAATTCACATAATTGAAATTGGTTTAAAATAAAATTCCATACGACTATGTAATAGCCCTCCATAAAGACAACAATATTTTTAAAACTAAGCCTCTTTCACCAGGTGTATCAAAAATAATAATCATGGTAAACAGTATTTAAAACTAAATCTAGTATCGCCGGTTTATTTATAATTATTTACCGAATTCCAACCAATGCATGTCACACCGTGTCATCGGTATTGGAGATTGCCGGAAATACTGTTTCTTGGGATATTCGGTGTGTTTCTCAGGATATTCGGTGTTCTATCCGGTGTTTATATTGAATGACTATTTAAATCTAACTAACAACTGGTCAGTAAAACCATCAAATCGGTAATCCAATTATTATTTTCCGGATTATCGAAACTACCGTAAATGTGCTAATAATGACCCAGATTCTAAGGTATGCATTATGACGACTATCGTCATCGTATCGTATTCTTAGCTTTAATTAATTAACCTGTTCTACGGTTCATTATTTTATCAATAGGATTTTCCAAACAAGGACCGACTGAAGCCGGCAATAATGAGCCGATTACGATCGAATGATTGAAATATTGTCGCCAATGACTTTTAACACGAATCAAATTCTAGTTTATCAGGGGAGGTAATTAATATCACGTGATACAAAATGGAGGTTCTTTCGATATCAATAAAAAAGGCAAATCTGCCAAACTTCGCCATTGTTCGGATAAAAAAGACAGCATGTTCATCTGAATCAGTTTTAATACATTTGAATAGATATACATGTATGGCGGATGTAGGTACATGCGGGATATTTTTTTTACGACTTGCTTGTCGATGTGCGGGCGGGCGTTACATATTTATTTTTTTTCATCAAGACTAATAAATAGACTGCACGCGCAACCAATTTTGCGTGCGGGCGGTGCCCGAGAAACAAGTTATTTTATTTGTGTTGCCTTAGGTTTACACATCATAATATATCTATTACCTTAGGTTTACACATCATAACATATCTTTTACCTAAGGTTTACACATCATAACATATCTATTACCTTAGGTTTACACATCATAACATATCTATTACCTTAGGTTTACACATCATAACATATCTTTTACCATCACTTCCAATCATAGTTATCTTCTTAGGTTTCTGTAGAGATGCTAAAACTTCTATCTAAAAACATAAACACAACTTATTGTGATGTTCCGATTATGACAATTGTATCTGTATCAGCAAATATGTTTCGCTGCCAGCATCTGTTATTGTAAAACCAATAGTACCCGTATCGACACATCATTAATAAATCAATCTTAAGAAAATTAGATATTGTCTGAAAGCAGACAATGATTAGAGGGTTTTGAAAGAGAGAGAGAGAGAGAGAGAGAGAGAGGGGGTTTCATGTCCACTCGACACAAACTAGGTAATTTCAGGACTAACATATGGTTCAGTTTTATTTCAATATCAGGCCTGCACGTGGGGTCTTTAGCAGTGAGAAGAAACTGGAGAACCCAGAGAAAACCCATGAGGTTGTACAGGCGACCACGCCACTTGACTCAATGACAGACCTTATGAACCAACACACACACAACCATTGGGCGAGCCAACCCTCCAGTGGGTTTAGAGCTACCTGATTTACTTAGTGGAAAAATGTTAATCATTTATAAGTTTATACTGCCGACTTACTGTGTCTTCAAAACCTTTAATATAAACAAGTCTATCAGGGAAAGGTCTATGGAGAGTGGAATTGACAGGACCGCTAGGTAGAGTTACAGTCATAGCAGATTGTAATGGTAATATCATCGGACTAAAATCACTGTAAAAAAACGAAATGGTAAAAGTTACTCTTCGTAAGATTGTCCCATAAAACAGTCTACATACGGAAATCCTAACAAAAAATCAACTGTTTCAGCTATAGCGTCATTTGGAATATGCCTTGTGACCTTAATTTTCATGTGTACTCGATCACACCTTTTTAGGGATCGAGATAATTCTATCGAGTATCCCCAAAGATGAGAGTATATAATATACGGTAATAGCATCAGAAAAATCCTTAAAGGTTATTCAATGTTACATGTAGAAACCTGAACAGTTTACAACAATCTTATAACCCCTTTTTTAAAACCGTACACAAATATTTAAAGCAGAAATCCAACTAAATCTAAAACTGTTAGCAACAATGCAACAGCTTAGAAGACAAATAAATTATACATGAAAATGTTTGGTCCATTGTTTGCTGAATTCTAATGAGGTAGCTTTAATTAATGAAATCCAACAACATAAAAGAAATGAACACTGTTAAAACATTTTACCTGTCTTCTAGCAGACGTTGTAATGGTCTGAAATGTTGAGTTATACTTAATGTAGCTGCATTACCAAAATTAGTTTCACTCAACTCTAGCAATCTCTCTGTAAGTTTTGTTGCATCCTGTTGAAAAATTAATGGAGATTAACGTTTAAAAGACAGAAATGGGGTGTAACGTTCGTTCTACGCTTACCAGTTCATTTGTTTCACGAAATTTGAACTCAACCATAATTATGGTGTAAAGGTTTTTAAAATCAAAAAAGAAATTGCCGCCTCTAAAGGCCCTATAATCTAAAAAGGTGATTTTTCGTACAATCAGGGACCGTAATCAAGAAAGTTTCGTCCGATAAGCACCAAAATCGCAAGGAACCAAGAACTTTGGTTTTATAAACATTAAATTTCATAAAAATTGTGACCTGTAGCGTGTCCACACACAAAATGTGAACAGACGGATAGAGGTGACGGCATAATGTGGACGTATAAAAAATAATCAAGCTTAGTCAAAGAACACCTGTAGTTAAGTTTACTTATTTCCTCTGCCTGTGAAGAAGATATCGGAGTCCAGTTTGATTTTCAAAATTACAAAAGATCCATAGAACAGAGAGAGATACTTACTTGAATAAATTTGTGAAGATCTGGACTTGCAGCCCTGTAATAGATAATATGTTTATTAATTATAACACATATTGAGTTGATCCCTCCACTCAACACACACTAAGTCATTTCGGGGGACTAACATATGGGGTCTTTTAACAATGAGAGGAAACCAGAAAATCCAGATAGAAAAGTCGAAAAGGTTGGACACAGTTGACCATACTGCTTGTCAAGTACAGACTGGGAATGGAAACCATGGCACTTGACTCAATGCCAGACCTTATGATCTAACGCGCACACATTAACCATTCAGCCACCCAACCCCACTTGACATGTTATTATCATCCTATTGACAGTGGACTAAACACAGGAATTTGGGGCGACAAAGCATGCATGGTTAATTGTCACTCTGATGCAATCTTGTTAATTGAAAACAACCCAGAATCCCACCAAACTTACCTAGCTGTGGCAAATATCTCTTTACATCGTTTTACTCTCATTGGATACGAAGACTGTAATCAAATATATATATTATAGTAATGGTGCATATTTATGGAATGAACTTCCTCGAAAAGATGTGCAAGACACCTCTATTTTCAAATTTCGAGTCAACACTAAAGACACATCTGTTTACCAAATATTTGTGCAAGAACAAATAGTTAAACTCACTGTGAAGCAAGCAGAAATGACCAGTGGACATAATTTAGTGCTATATAAGACGATTTATTATTATTATATAAATTTAATATTAAATTTGGATATACAAATTTGGTAATGAAAGGAACTGCTAATTGTAAGTCACCCGAGAACAAACAAATACAGCTAAAGCCTGTTGCAGACCGACTGACATTTGTTGCATGTCTAACAAGACAAATGTTTTATACCTATTTTAAATTTCCGGCAAGCGAAGATGGTTAAACACAAACGACCATCATTTGATCAAAGGAATGACCCAAACATCACATGATCACAAAATGGCGACATCAAATTAAAGACATGTTGAAATCCAACTCACACCGTCTAATAACTTTTGTCGAAAACATTGTTTGGCCAACAGATGTTTGCCGGTCTGTGTTGAGCTTGAAAGTCAAAATGCATAGTCAACATACTTCTTCAGTCATTTTCATCATTATGTGTCTATTCTTCTTATAATTCTGAACACCAAAGTTTCTCTTTACGTGCACGCCAATTGGTACAAAGGGAACCTCAATTTTTCATTCAACACTTTAAACAACAGTCCTAATAAATGAGCTTGAATAATTCAAAATGTGCTTCTCTGGCCATCACAGGATTCAAAAACAGGACAACCAGTGACCTACCACCCCATAATTGCACCCCTTCAATAAGAAGACAGTACACCAAATGCAAATTTGATTCTATATAAAGTTGAACTGCGTGGTAACCTTGGGTTAATGTATGTAAGAATACACTGTATTTATAACTTCAAGGGCTTCATTGAAAAAATTCCTACTCACTCACCTTAGACACAGACATCAACATCCAGATAGCTTGTTTAGGAAATGATACCAGTAATTTGGCAATTATATCCTGTTAACACAAAAACATTCTTTATAATGAATTCATGTCGCTTTGCTCTACTAATTT